ATGACCCACTGATAAACACCATGTACCAGATGACAATGCATTCCGTAAGAACATTTCTTTTGACGAGCATGCACTGCAGGATCTAATTAACTCTGATTTTCCCCATCATGCAAGATCTAATTAACTGTGATTTTTTCCATCCTGCATCACTACTCAACATGATTTGTCCATGAACTGAAGACATGCCAATTCTACTTTAGTGTTCACAAGAGTAATCCTTACCACGTCCAGATACAGGGACGCGCCGCAGAGGTCCACGACGGCAAGCGTGGATATACAAGGGCGGAAGCAGCTTCGTCGACTAGGGTGGCGCGGCCGCAGGAGCAGGGCTGTGCGTGGGAGAGTGGCAGCGACTGGCGGCGGCGCCCACGGTAGGGAGAAGGAGGCGAGCGGCGGCGACTGGCGGGGTGGCGCGGCCGCAGGAGCAGGGCTGTGCGTGGGAGAGTGGCAGCGACTGCCGGCGGCGCCCACGGCAGGGAGAAGGAGGCGAGCGGCGGCGACTGGCGGCGCCGGCAGGGCGGCGACTGGCGGCGGCGGCAGGGAGAAGGAGGCGAATGACTGGGTGTGTCGTGTGAGTACAAAATGGGCTGAAACCTAGGCCCGTGGCAAAAAATAAAACATGTCGCCCTTAATTTTGATGCCTATCCTACCCTTAAGAATTCAATGGTCAGATTTAGTTATACTGATCCATCCTGCTTCAGCAGTACAGGGTACCGTAAAAAAGCTCCCGAAGTAAGGACCACGTATGGTACCGCGCGGCTCGCGCCGGAGCTCCTGCTGGCGTCGACGGAGTACAACGCGCGGGTGGGCACGTGGGCGCTCGGGTGCATCATGGCCGAGCTCCTCGCCGGCGCGCCGCTGCTGCCCGGGAGGTCGGAGATGGACCAGCTGAACAGGGTGTTCGACACGGTCGGGACTGACGATATGACGGGCTGGCCCGGCTTCTGCCGGCTCGCCGCTCTGCCAGCGCAGCAGGCCGCCCAGCCGGCTCTTGGAGATGTTCCCTGAACTGTCCGCCGCCGGCTTTGACGTCCTCAGCGGACTGCTGGCATGCAGGCCGGACAGGAGGCTCACCGCCGCGGCCGCGCTTCTGGTTCACGGACGCCGAGTCACCCGATGTTCACCAGAGGCGCAACCCATGTGGCGGTCGCTTCACGGCGCGTGCCGGTGGCGTTGCGGACGCGATCGTTGTATAGAAAACTCTGGATTCGTCAGGATTCAATATTCTTTTAACCAGCTGAGGATTCGCTTGGCAGAGTGTACAGGTTTGGTGGCGGCTTTGTGGCTCCTGTCATCTGCGTTGTTGCACTGTCGTCTTCAGTTCCGTTTAGGCTGGTGGGATAGCTGGTGAAGTGGCACGAGTTCCTCGAGGGTCCTGCTGATTAGCTCGTCCTTTTTCCTTCTTGTATGTATGTTGTCCATGCAAGCAATCGCAAAGGTATCTTGTGTATACTGAGTATAATAAACAAAGCAATAGTGGCAAAGCACCCATGGACGAATCTTCACGTCCGTAAAAGGCTGTCCTTGTTGCTTAAAATTTGTCCGAATTGAGAAGGACCGATTTCAGAAGCCGCAAGCATACACTGTGATAGGTCGCCCAGACCGGTAGTTTTATACCCAAACACCACGCGCGCGCAGACACATGCCGGCAAGAATAAATTGTGGGAAACCTAGGACAGAGCGTCAGGCTGAGAGATGGTCCTGTCTCCTGTGAGAGTGTCCAGAGGCGTCGGCCGTCGGTATGGCCATCGGGACACCGGCCACGTCTCCTGTCCCGGCTCAAAGTTGGTCCCAGTGCAGTGCTCGAAAATGAACTAGGAATAAACGCCAAATCCGTCCTGTGTGCCTCACGTGTGATGCCAGCGAGCCACCGGCAAATCCACGCGCGACTTCCACGAGCCCGGCACGCCGCCTCGTGGCCTCGTCGACCCCGTCCCGACGCGTCACCCAACCGGTCCCCGCAATCGCATGATGACGCCCGTCGTGGTTTCGCCGCTCTCCACTCCACGTGATGTCGTTGCCACACGCCACTCCAGCGGGCTGCTCCGTGCGGCGGCTGCAGCCACCTTCGCGGTCTCGCGCTCAGACTGCTCAATGACAATTCGGAGAGTCTTGGTGTTCTTTCGGTGGAGCCATCGCATGTTCATCGCTGCGGTCGTAAGTGATCGGCGATAGACCCATTCAAGGAGCCGCGCGTTCTCGTCGGACTCTATCTATATCCCACGGCTGCGGTGCACGGACTGCTCCACCTCCCTTCTCTTCTTTTCACGCTGCCGCTTGCGGCGGGCGGCGCGCGCCTCTGATTCCGGCGTACGTGTTTGACCGGCAGGACGGACACAAGCACCCACTCAGGGCCGGTCCTGAGATTTCAGGGGCCCTGGGTGAAATTATAATTGGGGGCCCTTGATGGCCCGTAGTATAGATGTCTATTTATAAATCATTATATGTAGATATAATTTGTATCAAAGAAAAAATTAAGTGCATATCAAATAATGTATTACATATTCCTTCAAAAAATCTCCTCATAGTCTGAGATGGAAAATCGCTAATGATATTATCAATATCAATTTCATCAAGCATGTTTTTCTCAATGCATAATGTTGCCAAGCTGTTGTAACCCTTTGTCAATTTGTTTCATGCTTTCTCAGTCCAGTGCTCAGTTCATTCCAAGAGTTTATGTTGGTAATATGGTCAACACTAGCTGCATGTTTCGGTCTCGCATTAATATGCTTCCAATCACAAAACCCCTCATGCCTCAATGCACTTTTGCATTTGTCAGAATTGAAAAGCTTACATCACAATGAAAACACTTTTTTTGCGCCTTTTGAAATAACTGACCATTTCCTATCACACACTTCTCAATTGCACATATTTCTTGAGTAATGCGTATATGAAAAATGTCTTGAATTTTCATCCAAAGAATATTTAGTGTTTTCTTCTTTCCTTTTAGGCCCCTTTTCCACTAATATATCCCTCAATTTATTTTCAAGATTACCCAAATTGCTTAGATCATAAATATCCACAGTAATAACCGGTTCGTCATCAACACTAGCAAATTATGTCGCAGATGAATTAAATATGGACGCAGGATCGCTCACATTGGTATCATCAATGTTGATGTCAACATCATCTTCTGTAGGAGAATGACCATCATTTTTCTGATTGGCACTAGTTTGGTCATCCATAAGAACTATCACCAACTCGTCTAGATTTTTTGAAGTGCTCGGATGGCTCTTATGATTTATTAAGAAGGGATCCTTTCATGTCATCTACCTCCTTCCTTTTTCTTTTATCACATCCAGATGGATACTTTACACCCGAACCCAATATGGCAGTGCTGAAATTGAAAGGAACAATAAAATTAGTGCAAAAAATTAAAATATTGGATTAATTACAGAAGATCTTCACCTAATATCATGACAAAATCTGCTAGGGCATAGTATAGTACCTTCTCTCCGTAGTCTAATCAGGCTATGTGCGCGCGTTTGATCACGCTGGCAACAATTCCCTATTGACCTGTTCGAGAATTCGGAAATCAGGATTAGAAAAAGAAAGAAACAGGAAGAAGAACATGCAAGGGCAGAAGGCGCGCACGAGGAGACGTACCTGCCGTAGTCGTCGCGCCGTTTGTCAGGAGGCGGAGTTGAAGTCTTGAAGACGAATAGCGGTCGGCGGAACATGCAAAAGGGCAGGGAACGAGACGATCGAGGATCCGAAGGAAAAGGAAATCGTGCGTGAATCGAGCGATTTCTTTCACGTCATCTGCCTGTACGTGCAAACATGGGCCAAGCCCATCATCTCTCCCTTTCTTTCCTAGGCCTAGCACGTGAGTCACACGAGAGGAGCAGAGGCTGGGGCGTTGCTGAGTTTGGCTTCAATTTTTTTTGGTCGTAGTATATACTTGTGTACCCTACATACACGTACCTGGAGGGGGCCCCCTGGCGTTTGGGGGCCCGGGGCGGCCGCCCCGTTCACCCCCCTCAGGGCCGGCCCTGCACCCACCGCTATTCACGAGGGGGAGCAACAGTCGGTAGGGCCAGGGAACGACATAAAGGAGACGCGGATTGTGCAGGCCGCCTGTCGGAGCTACGCCCAGGCCTAGAGGGGCCAGCGCCGACGTCTGACCTACGCCGACGAAACATCGGAATCCTTGAATCATTTGATCAAGCTTCATCGGTCGATACTCCTCGTCCGACGAAACATCAAAATCCATCATTTTCTCTAATAAAATCACAAAAAATCCGATCAGATAATCCGTTGAGCACACAAGCGCAAGATGGAGCTAGAGAGTTGTCAGGCATACCGCGGTTCGTGACCTAAAGGAATCTTTGTTAGGGAAACCCAAGAATATTGTTGCATGAAATTAGAAAAAAAGAACCGATGGCTCTTAAGGCGGCGGATCTCTTAGCACGCCCCATTCAGAGTTTTTTTAGGGGTTCGTACTCCATTCAAAGTTTCTTTTAGGGGTTCGTACCCCCCGTTCAGATGCAAACTGGGCCGTGTGCAAGCTAAGGAAGCCCTATTGGTTTCAAAAATAAATAAATAAGGAGGCGTACTGAAAGCCCACCGCGGCACCCCACGGCGTGAGGCAAGCAGGCTCGGAAGCTTGCAGTCAAAAAAAAATGCAGTCAAAAAAGCAGGCTCGGAAGCTCAGTTGGCTCAAAAAAAAAAAGGCTCGGAAGCTCAGTGTCCAGCTCGACTCCGGTCTAGCGTCTCGCCGGCGCCCGGCCCCCCTGCCTGTCCATGCCGCCGGAGAAATCGCCGCAGTCCCCAGGTACGCCGTCCGCCTTCCGCAGCCCCCCGCCCCCGGCCCCGCTCGCTTTGAATAGAGTTTTGGGCGGATCCTTCCTGTGCTGGTCTCCAGCAGCTAGGTTTCTTTCGACCGGGATGATGCAGCATGAGATCGGAAAATTCCACACGCTCAGTACAAAATTCGGAGTCTACATGATTAATTCTAGCATTTCGGATTGCTATCTTCGCTTGCACCCAAACGTTTATATGGTGATTTAGCCAGGTCTCCGGGTTAGTACTTAGTTGGATCTCCTCAAGAAAATGTCAGGTTGTGGTGCAGTGGATTTAGTCTGACCATCAGGTTCTATAATTTTGTGGAGAGCTGTTGTCAGGCATTAGCTTGTCTATCTATAGTTCACTCAGTTGAACATTTGTGTCGAAGTTGGTCACATGTAAGTTTGCAACAGAAATTTGCGGATTATCTACTGACAATCATGATATGGATCATATGCATCTTCTTGCCTTACTCATTTCATTGCAAAGACATAAATTAATACTTTATGACACTTGATCTGAATTTATGGGCTTCAGTGGCTTGTGGACAAAGAGTACTAATTTCGAACAAACTTGGGGAGAAGCTTGTTGGTTTATTACATGAAGCATGTTCGAAGGAACTTGTGATACTTTGTCATGGATTCAGAGCTACAAAGGCAAGTCTGTACCATCCATATGTCCATTTATCCAAGAACCTTCACTATTTTTGTTCTCAATCTTTGTATGGCCATCTTACTCTGTAATCGCTTCCAGGACGACAGTATCTTGGTCGACCTTGCCGCTGCACTAGCAAGTGTTGGAGTTAATGCTTTTCGGTTTGATTTTGCTGGAAATGGGTAAGCTGCTTCTAACAAAATTGTGGTGGTCATGGCATAGCTTCATACCACTCATCATGCAGACTTCCACTTTTGCTGTTGAATTAAAATGTTTCTGAATTAGGAATTAGGAATAGAATTTTTCATGCAATTTAGCTGTAGCAAGAGCCACAGTTTCCCCCACTAATATTTTTTATTAATAACACAATGTTCTTTGAGTACTTCCTTGCTGACTGCCACATTCAATTTGCCTACTGTTGTTGAATTAGGGGTTTGTTATCTCTCTCGCAGGGAAAGTGAGGGTCTATTCCAATATGGGAACTACCGAAAAGAGGCAGATGACTTGCGCTCTGTAGTATCTTATTTCTCAGAACAGAAGTATGACATAATTGCCCTTGTTGGGCATAGCAAAGGTAGATAATCTTTGGTGATTTTTTTTATTGAAGGGATTGCATCCTGATTACATACTGGAAGGGAAAATAACATTGTTATGCAGCTGTTATGACCGGTTTGGTCTATACTAGGAAGAGGCCCACCGGGCATTAGTATTAGGGCATCTACAATGGTCGACGCTTGTATGGGCGCTAGCAGAGAATAAAATAAATATCAAATAATTAAATGGGTGACTAAGCGCCTAGCCTTACAACGGCCGATGCTAATACACAGGCTAATTTAAAGGGTTTGGGCGCTTGCTGCGGGAAGGAAAAGGCTCTAGCGCCCGACGCAGAGTTTTGCGTCGACGCCTCACCAGACACTGGGATTCTTTCAATTAACCGCTAATTGGCCGGGAATAGTACCCTGGCGCCCATGCTAAGCGTCCGCATTGGACATGCCCTTAGGGGCTTGGCCCACAAGTTATCTTAGGCAAGTTATCTTAGGCTAAAGTTATAAATACTAGTTGTAAGACACCGTTGAGATCAAGCAATAAAGATATTATAATCTTCTGTTGCCCGGCTCCTTGAGGAGCCGGAACCCTAGCCGCCGCCTCAAACCCTAGCCGCGATGGCGCCTGTCCGCCGGCGCGCCCGCTCCAGCCCTCGTCCCCCTCCTCCTTGCCCATACAATCTGCGCCGGAGGCCTGGTAGGAACCCTAGTCCTACCAATTTGGTATTCAGAGACACTAGCCCGATCATGTCGCTTCCTCCATCACCGCCTCCGCTGCCAAACACCACCGCCTCACCTACACTGCCGCCAGCCCCGTCCGCGTCCATGCTGGCGCTCACGTCCGGGACTACCACCCCGACAGCGCCGACCGCCACCGCGGCGGAGCCGCCCCCATCCTCTCGCCCGAGGAGGTCTCGGGCACCCTTCGGGAGCTCATCCAGGCGGTCAAGGGCATCAGCCTCTATCTCGCCGGGAACCAGCCCCCGCCGCCGAGCGCCGCCACCACCGCCTACGGGCCGCCGCCGCTCCAGTGGCCCGCCCCGGCCTTCCAGTCGCCCTACGGAGGGCCGCCCCCGCCGCCGCTGCTGCTGCAGCACTACCCGGCCGCGGGGAACCCTTGGCCCGCGTGGCCAACCGCCACCGCACCGCTGGGGGACCCTTCCCAGCAGCTTCTCCAGGCGCCCCCGCCGGCTACTTCGACTCTGGCTACGGCACCGCAGCTCCACCAGGCGCCGCCACCGTCGACAACATCACCACCCGCGCCCCGGCCCACTGGCCGGCCCATGCACCAGGTGCAGTTTCCGCCATCGCCATCGCCAATTCCCGCGTGGGCGGCCGGCTCGTCTCCAGGCCCGGTGTATACCACGGCGCCGGAGCACCCGACGCCTTCCCTCCGGTTTGACTGTCCCTCCGGCTCGGCGACCTACGCCCCGAAGATCCCCGACCCGGCACACTCGCTGCCGCCGACTGCAGCAGCCCTCGGGCACGGTGGTCCGACACCCCCTCGCTTCGCCAAACTGGACTTCGCCACCTACGAGGGCACGGAGGACCCTCTCAACTGGCTCAACCAGTGCGAGCAGTTCTTTCGCGGGCAGCGGACGCTCGCTTCGGATCGTACCTGGCTCGCGTCCTATCATCTCCGCGGCGCGGCACAGACCTGGTACTACGCCCTCGAGCAGGACGAGGGCGGCATGCCACCATGGGAGCGCTTCCGGGAGCTCTGTCTTCTCCGGTTCGGGCCTCCTATCCGCGGGAGCCGCCTGGCGGCCCTCGGCCGTTTACAGTTCACATCCACGGTTCAGGACTACGCCGACCGCTTCCAGGCCCTGGCGTGCCACGCGCCGAGCGTCTCCGGGATTCAGCGCGCCGAGTTATTTGTGGGCGGTCTGCCGGACCATATTCGCGTGGACGTCGAGCTCCGGGATCCCCCCGACCTCCAGACGGCCATGTACTATGCCCGGGCTTTCGAGCAGCAGGCCCAGGCACTGCAGCAACAACCCGGATGGGCCGGCCGCCAGCCCAGTCGGCCAGCGCCGACTCCTCCAGCACCGGGCCGGCCTCCTCCAGCCGCGGCGGTCGCGCCCCCGGCCACCACATGGACTTTCCGTCGGTTGTCATCGGCCGAGCAGCAGGAGCGTCGCCGTCAGGGACTCTGCTTCAACTGCGATGAGCCCTACACACCGACCCATGTCTGCCCCCGCCTATTTTACTTGGAGACGGTCAACTACACCGAGGCGGACGACTCGACCGACGCGACACCACCACCCGAGGCGGCCGCGGACACGCCCGCGGATCCCACGGTGACGGCGTGCGTCGTCTCCCTCCACGCCCTCGCCGGCATCCGTGGCGAGCGGACCATGCTGCTGCCGGTGACGATCCATGGCGAGCGGCTGGTGGCCCTGCTGGATACTGGCTCCACCCATAACTTCTTGCCCGAGGCGACCATGCGTCGGCTAGCCCTTCCGACGACGGACGGGGAGCGCCTGCGGATCACGGTGGCGAACGGCGATCGCCTCGGGTGTCATGGGCTCGCCCGCGACGTTCCCATCTCCATTGGTGGCGAACACTTCTCGATTACCTGTGGAGGGATCGACCTCGGCTGCTTCGACTTCATCCTCGGGGTGGATTTTCTCCGGACCCTCGGTCCCATCCTATGGGACTTTGACGCGCTCACAATGACGTTCTGGCGGCTAGGCCGCCACGTCCGGTGGGACGGCCTTGGGGGCGCTGCGCCGGCCGTGCCACATCTCCAGCTGGTCGCCGCGTCCTTAGAGGCCGAGCAACCCCTGCTGGATTCCCTTCTGCAGCAGCACAGCGGCCTCTTCGACGAGCCACGGGGTCTTCCGCCCGCCCGGGTGTACGACCATCATATTCACCTCATGCCGGGTACCCCTCCCGTGGCGGTTCGGCCCTACCGCTACCCTCAGCTGCAGAAGGATGAGTTGGAGCGCCAGTGTGCCCTTATGCTCGCCGCGGGCATCATCCGGATCTCCACGTCACCCTTCACCGCCTCGGTGCTGCTCGTCCGCAAGTCGGACGGCACTTGGCGTTTCTGCATCGACTACCGCGCCCTGAACGCGCTCACGCTCAAGGACAAGTTCCCTATACCGGTGGTCGACGAGCTCTTGGATGAGCTCCATGGGGCGCGCTTCTTCACCAAGCTCGATCTTCGGTCGGGCTATCATCAGGTGCGTATGCATCCCGACGACATCGCAAAGACGGCATTTCGCACCCACCATGGCCACTTCGAGTTCTTGGTCATGCCCTTCGGCCTCGCCAACGCCCCAGCGACTTTCCATGCCCTGATGAACGACGTCCTCCGGCCCTACTTACGGCGGTTTGTGCTTGTTTTCTTTGATGCCATTCTTAACTACAGCGCCACCTGGGCCGAGCACCTCCAGCACGTCGCCATCGTCTTCAACGAGCTTCGGGCGCACCACCTCCACCTTAAGCGCTCGAAGTGCTCGTTCGGGACACCTACCGTCGCCTACCTCGGCCATGTCATCTCTGCCGACGGGGTGGCTATGGACGCCGACAAGGTGGTGGCCGTCTCCGCATGGCCGACACCTCGCTCACTGCGGGCTCTCCGCGGGTTCCTCGGCCTCGCCGGCTACTACCGGAAATTTATCCGGGACTTCGGGCTCATCACGGCGCCCCTCACGCGGTTGCTTCGCCACGACGCTTTCGCTTGGGGCGACGAGGCGACGACGGCGTTCGAGGCCCTCAAGGGGGCCCTCACGACGGGCCCCGTCCTCCAGATGCCCGACTTCGACCGCCTGTTCGTGGTGGACTGTGACGCCTCCGGCGCTGGTTTCGGCGTCGTGCTTCATCAGGGCGATGGACCCCTCGCCTTCTTCAGCCGGCCTTTCGCTCCTCGCCATCTCAAGCTGGCGGCATACGAGCGGGAGCTCATTGGCCTTGTGCAGGCTGTTCGTCATTGGCGGCCATACTTGTGGGGACGGTCCTTCCACATTCGCAGGGACCACTACAGCCTGAAGTTCTTGCTGGACCAACGACCGTCGACCGTGCCACAGCACCAGTGGATCAGCAAGCTCTTTGGCTTCGACTTCTCCGTCGAGTATCGGCCGGGTCGCCTTAACACCGTGGCCGACGCGCTGTCCCGTCGCGACTCCGACATCGCTACCTCCGTCGACGAGTCCGCCGGGGCGGTCCTGTGCATCCGCTCCGGGCCGACGTTCGGTCTCTTCGTCGACATCCGCCGCGCAACTGCGACAGCCGACGCCGCCGTCCTTCTTCGGCAGCAGCTCACGGCCGGCGACCTGGAGGAGCCTTGGCGCTTCTCTGACGGACTGCTTCTCCATGGGCGCCGGATCTTTGTTCCGGCGCATGATGATCTCCATCACCAGGTGTTACAGCTCGCCCACTCGGCAGGTCATGAGGGTGTGCAGAAAACCCTCCATCGTCTTCGCGCCGACTTCTACATCCCTGGCGATCGCGCCCTGGTCCGCGACTGGGTTCTGTCTTGTCAGACATGCCAGCGCAACAAGACGGAGACCCTGCGGCCGGCTGGGTTACTTCAGCCCTTGGAGGTGCCGTCTCAGGTCTGGGCGGATATCTCCATGGACTTCATCGAGGGCCTCCCCAAGGTGGACGTCAAGTCGGTCATCCTCACGGTGGTCGACCGCTTCTCCAAGTACGCCCACTTCATCGCGCTCGACCATCCGTACACGGCGGCGTCCGTGGCCCGGGCCTTCTTCGACGGCATTGTCCGCCTACACGGGTTCCCTGCTTCGATCGTCAGTGATCGGGACCCAGTATTCACGGGCCATGTCTGGCACGACCTCTTCAGGATGGCGGGTGTCTAGCTCCGCCTGAGTACGGCGTTCCATCCTCAGACAGACGGTCAGTTCGAGGTGGTTAACAAGGTCATTGCCATGTATTTGCGTTGTGTGACAGGTGATCGGCCTCGCGCTTGGGTGGACTGGCTCTCTTGGGCGGAGTACTGCTACAACACCTCCTATCACTCCGCCCTGCGCGCTACGCCGTTTGAGGTGGTCTATGGTCGACCACCCCCGCCTATACTACCGGTGGACCCGGAGACGGCTCGGACAGCGGTTGCGGGTGACCTTATCCGCACCCGTGACGAGATGCTTGCTGAGGTCCGTCAGCGTCTCCTTCAGGCCCAGCAGCTGGCCAAGCATTACTACGACGATCATCATCGCGAGGCGGAGTTCGCGGTGGGTGATTGGGTGTGGCTGCGTCTTCTCCACCGCTCTACGCAGTCACTTGACCCGCGCGCCAAGCGCAAGCTCGGGCCTCGCTACGCCGGGCCCTTCCCTATCTTGGAGCGCATTGGGAAGGTGGCCTATCGTCTTCAGCTTCCAGCCCGCGCTCGCATCCACGACGTCTTCCATGTGGGGCTGCTCAATCCTTTCCGTGGCGAGCCACCGGCGGCTCCTCCGGCGCTTCCGCCAACCGCCGATGGTCGCATTCTTCCAGAGCCGGCAAAGGTGTTGCAGGCACAGCTCCGTCGTGGCGTCTGGTTCGTCCTCGTTCTTGGGCGGGCCTTCCGGAGGAGGAGGCTACTTGGGAGCAGCGGGAGGATTTTCGCCAAAACACTATCCAGACTTTCAGCTCGAGGACGAGCTGTTTGCGCAGGCGGGGAGAGATGTTATGACCGGTTTGGTCTATACTAGGAAGAGGCCCACCGGGCATTAGTATTAGGGGCTTGGCCCACAAGTTATCTTAGGCAGGTTATCTTAGGCTAAAGTTATAAATACTAGGTGTAAGACACCGTTGAGATCAAGCAATAAAGATATTATAATCTTCTGTTGCCCGGCTCCTTGAGGAGCTGGAACCCTAGCCGCCGCCGCCTCCAACCCTAGCCGCGACGGCGCCTGTCCGCCGGCGCGCCCGCTCCAGCCCTCGTCCCCCTCCTCCTTGCCCATACAATCTGCGCCGGAGGCCTGGTAGGAACCCTAGTCCTACCAGCAGCTCATCAGATAGCCCATTCCCAACTTTCCTTGTACCCTTAATATCCATCAGAGCCCCAGAACTGAGATTGTCCTGGTTTTTTCTTGGCCTGCGACAGAGTTTGATTACTGAGATACTTTTTCTGCAGTAAGCCCTGCCACACACCACCCTCATGTTCCAGCTTCCAAAGCCAATTAACCAGAAGTCTAATGTACATTAATTACAATTTAAGAACACACAGCCCTCCCATATCCTTTGATAAACAAATAGTTTTCCAGTTTACCAAATGATGTTTTCTGGACCCAAGATCTTCCTGCCATAAAAGCCTCTTCATAAAGTAGATCAACTCTTTTTCCACTCCCTTAGGAAAATTATAGAAGGAAGTCATATAAATTGGAATGGTCCTGTGTGCACATATCGCGCACAAGCGCTAGCTGCACTAGAATGCATAGTCGACATAAATAGGCGGTAGGAACTCATAATTGGTGTACTGCTTCTGTGTTTGCTCTTTGCTGCGTTCTGGAAGGACCTCTTCAATGTATTCATGTATAACTGAATGTAATCAAGAATATTTACATGTGCCATGCATTATATCCTGATCTCCTTGCTTTGTCGTGTAAATGTATCTGCCTCCTATGCTTTACATTTATGTTACTTTATACAGTATACTGCTATATTTCACCGCTTCTGTTTCTTGCTTTTAGGAGGAAATGCTGTGCTTTTATATGCTTCCATGTACCATGATGTTACCGTCATTGTGAATATTTCTGGCCGCTTTGCTTTAGAGCAAGGTATGGAAGGGCGGCTGGGGAAGAATTTCCTGCAGAGGATAAAGAAAGATGGATACATAGACGTCAGAAATAAAAAAGGTGTAAGTTTGCTACATTTGACATGTCATTATCTTGTTAAGTACTAAAAAATAAGCCTCACATGGTATTTATTTTGATAAAATACTACAGATCTGAAGCCTATCACATGTTTATGAATCAAACAAACTTTTCCCGAGTTTTCCAAGTAAAATAGTTTTGTGCTGATTCTGGTAGTGTATATCACAAGCCTTTTCAGTTTATCTGGTGAAACCAGTTAACAAGATCAGGTTATGACATGTGTTATGGGATGACTTACAATACATGAGAATCCATTGAATTGTATAGGTTAGTCAGTTATTTGTAAGCTTCATCATCCTTATGTCAACCATAGGTGGCATAGTTATTTTTGTTTCTCTGCTTATATCCACAAGACTGAACCTGCAAATATTGTAACTGAAAGATTTATTTTGAAAATGAGAGCCCCAGTGTTATGCTTACTTACCTTATTGCAATATTAACGTTGCTATGCCTTTGTGCAGGGAAGTTTGAGTACCGGGTGACAGAAGAAAGCCTGCGAGATCGCCTGAGCACTGATACCCTGCTTTCGAGCCGCTCCATAAGCAAAGACTGCAGGTTCTAAGCTGCTCTCTTGCACCTGAACCTACTCACATGAACAATTCAATCATTGAGAAAAATATGTACCGATCTGCAGGGTTCTCACGGTTCATGGCTCTGAAGATGAAACGGTCCCAGCGAGAGACGCCCTGATGTTTGCTGCGAACATCCCAAACCATGACTTGCATATAGTCGTGGGAGCCAACCATCGGTACACAGGCCACGAGCAAGAGCTGACATCACTCGTACTGGATTTCATCAAGCCCCGTCCTCGAAAATCATCATCCTTACGTCCGAAATTGTGATCATCTGACCATTGTGGGGCTTGATTGATGTACCATTTACTTGTTACATTACAGGATGACAAAAGGCCTGTGTATAGTCGTTGTGCTGTGCTGCACTAATTTCAGTAAGATTTCTTCATCTTACATTTTCTGAACGCAGAAAGAAGCTCAGACTAGTTATCATTTCTAAAAGTAGGAAATGTGCTAATTGGGCAATATCGCAAAATTACTTTTTTTTTTGAACCGGGCCTCAACCCCTTTCCATTAAAAGCATAACGGAAATACATAGTTCAGATATCCACAGACCCAAGTACCAACTACATTGCAAGGAAACTAGAAAGGGGAGGCGAGTTTAAAGCACCACTGGAAAACCCACCATGAGCACTCGTCATCGAGCAGCTCATTGCGGGGCGAATGGTCTTGCAAAGGCTCATACTCCCTCCGTCCGGGAATAGTTGTCCCCGCAGGATTTTTACAAAAAAACCCTTCACGTTTGCCAGACCAAACCCGCACTCCCTCTCCATCTTCCTCCGACACCGGCCGACTCCAACGCCGCCCCGCGCCACCGCGCCGTGCAGCTCCCCTGCGCAACCGCGCCGCGCTGCCGCGCCGCGCCGCCGCGCAGCTCCCTCGCAGCTCAACCGCGCCGCGCCGCCGCACCATCGTTCCGCGCTCCCCTGCACAACCCCTAAAAATCCCCCATTTCCCTTGTTGCTCGAGCTCGACTCCTCCACGCCGGACGCCGCCTCGTCCACACCGCCGGACGCCGCCTCGTCCACACCGCCAGACGCCGCCCCGCCCTCACCGCCGGAGCTCCCCCGCCCCACGCCTCCGCCGTGTTGCTTCCGGCGGTCGGCGGATTAAGGCAGCGGCCTCGCTGGCCCATGGAACCCGCCAGAGTTCAAAGGTCTCCTTTTTCCCCTTCTGCTCCCTTTGATCTCTTGCAATTTTCTTCTTCATCTTCTTCGATTGGTCTACTGGAAACAGAACAGAGGTAAACAAAGCAATCTTTACTGAAAACATAACAGAGTTGCATGGTGGCATTCGAGGTTGAACCTGTACTGAACAAAACAAGGCTGAGATGGATGGATGGATAGATTGTGTGAGATGAAATATGAGAATCTTGCTTTGTGTCAATTTCAGTTGTCCATCAAGTACTCCATTCACATTGCTGCTGCTCCATCTTTATTAATCCTGAAATAACATCAATGTTGTACTCCATTCAGACTGTTGTTATCTAACTGAATTTCAGTTGTCAATTTTTTTGCACTCACATGCTTCTATCAGTGGTTATCTAACTGAATCTTGCTCATTTGTTTGTCACCTGTAGATGCCATGCTCAATTTTTTGGTAAAGCTACTCGAGTTGCCAGCAATGCATGCAAAGCGGCAACAGTTGGCTGCTCAGTTTTTCTTGTACTGCCAAGATGGAAGGTGAGCACCAATATTTCTGAAACTAGTGATTTGACACTAGTGAAAATTCAGTTACTGCTTGAGTGATTTGACACTGTTGAAAATTCAGTTACTGTCAATTCTACAGTACACAAGATTCAGTGTAAATCTTCAAAATGAATTGCTGTTAGTACACGATCAATTAACTAATTTGGCATTATTACTCCCTAGAGAATGGATTGTACAACACTGAAAATTACTCTGAATGTACTCCAGTTGACTGTATATTCACTGAATGTACAACACCAAAAATTACTCCAATGACTGTACATTGACTGCATATATTTCATTGATGTCAAATTTTATTTATGTGTCAAGTCTGACATCAACTTGTAAGAAGAATAAGGGTGAGTCCAAGATCAGGTGATTGAGTGAGTGATGTGGTTGCTGAAGTTCAGACATGTTCAATGAGAACAACTACCGTGGAGATTAAATTCAATGAGAATAAATTCAAATAAATCCAAATAAATCCATCATGTCAGGATTCTTGATCAAAGACCCACTTAGGAGTAGTTTGTCATTGTTAAACACAAGTTTAAAATGAATATGCTTCTTTTGCTGTGGTAATCCAAAATGCTTCTTTTGAGTACAGTAGCTGTAAAACTTAGTCTATCTGGAGCTTGAGCTTGTGAGCTTCTTTAGCAAGATTACTGAATACACTGAATTTGTCATTATAATTTATACTGTGAACTGAACACTAACACTTTTACAATTAATTAGGACTATACAAACACTTTTACAGTTCTGAACACTTTTCACAAGATGAAGCTCTTGATCTTACAGTAAAACTGTTCTGAACACTTTTCACAAGATGAAGCTCTTGATCTTACAGTAAAACTGTTCTGAACACTTTTCACAAGAGGAAGCTTGGTTTTTTTTTTGATCTATACTTTTAAAGTTCAAGACACTCATGTAAATTAAATAAATCAAATGGTGTATAAATGGTGTATAAATCCTCTTGGAAACTTTAGGTATGTTTGCAATTGGACAAATGGTGTATAAATCCAAATAAATCAAATAAATTCAAATAATTCAAATAAATCCAAATAAATCCAAATAAATCCAAATACGTCTATCCTTTCTTTCCCTATCCTTTCTCATTGAACACATGACACAATACATACACATGACACAAGCCATACACATGACACATCAAATACTCCTATCCTTTCTTTTCTTTTTCCCTTTCCCTTTCTTTTTGAGCTTTCTCTATCTACTCATTTCCTTGTTCTATAATGGCCATTGTATCAGTAATTAGCTCAGGACTGCAGTATACACCGGTTATTTCTTCTCCCCCATTTTGTAGACGGTCCTTGTGTAGATGCGGCAGCTTATAGTTGTTTCCTCCTTGATCTTTCATCACTTCCACCATGACTGCTTGCAACGTCATAAAGCTTTTGAACAACTTATGGGGATCGTAGTTCTCAAACTCCTCCTCTACACCCTGTACTAGTTCCTGTATATTCATAGGCGCTCTGCAGTCGGTTAGGGATTGGAGGGAGCAGTGGAAACAAAGATCCAGAACATTGAGCTCAGGGCTGTTTGGTGGTTGTTGCAATAATCGAATATCCAGATCTGTCTGTGCCACGGCTTCTAGAAAACCAGCATCATTAGGGAGGACATGCGGTGTTGCATTATCTTGTTGAATAAAGATCGTTGTGTCCTCGTCACCGTCCGACCATTTGTCTTGAATGGCAGGGATTACTTTATTGATCAAGTAATCTCTGCACACAGGTCTAGTAACTTTGACCGGCTTCAACTCTATTGTCCCCCTATCTCTGTTCTGGCTTGTTCGTTGTGCCTCGGTCTATACCACGAAATGGCCAAATGCCAAGTTTCCCATCAAATATCATCTCCCCATCTTCATTGTAGCGAGGTTTGGCTACAGCTGTTAGAAACATTACCTTCCCAATGCTATGAGTATTGTGCACAGTTCGGTTTGGTTCTTCTTCTCCAGGCGGTACGTAGTAGCTACTCTTCACTCGGGTCATGTCATACCATTTCTCGTCGATGTGGACCATATTTGTCATTGGCTTGAAACTGGGCCAAGGACTTGATATCCATCTTTCATCCATCATGGATAGGCAGAACTTTAGTCTCGCTATCTTGTTCTGTGGCTTGAGGGTGGGTTTGATGGTGCTTGTGATGCGTTTCAGCTCTTGCAATTGAAATCTGTCATGTAGGGTTGATCGGGGCACACCTAAACACCTTGCTAGAGACCGGATTGTTCTTATTTTGTTCAAGGGGATTGTGGCTGTTCTCGACAGATCTAGTTCTTTTCTCTTCCTACCACTTTTGTTCTTCTTGCTTGAAACATCAACTTCTTGGCCTGCTGCAAGTTGTCGTTTGGCTAGATTCCATATTCTTGTAACTGTTCGCAGGTGAACATTCAGCATAGTCGAAATGAGCACCTTGTCATACACGTGAACCTGTCCATCTCTAAGCTCGATTACTCGCAGAGCAAAGTAAACACCATGTCTCTCCTTGTCTGTCAAGTCCTTCCCTCTTTGATTGCCATGTGCATCAGCTTCTTTCACTTCTGCATATTCTTGTGCATCTTGAGCTTCTTCCAATTCTGCATCTTCTTATGCCTCTTGAGCTTCTTCCAATTCTGCATCTTCTTGTGCCTCTTGAGCTTCTTCCTCTTCAGGAAACCAATTCAATTCAATGTCTCCATTCTCATCTTCCGGCATCAAGTTCAAATCAATAGCGTCACCTTGTTGAGCTTGTTCTTCTTCTTGAGCTTCGTTCTCCTCTTCCAGCATCAAGTTCAAATCAATAGCGTCACCCTGCTGAGCTTGTTCTTCTTCTTGAGCTTCGTCCTCCTCTTCCGGCATCAAATTCAAATCCATAGTTGTGTGCTCCTGTCTGATCTCATAACAAGAGTATACAAAAGATGAATGGTGAGCATATAATCATAACAAGAAAACCATGAAGAATCCTAGACAAAAAGCAAATAAACCAAGAAAGGGAAAAGTAGATATTAAAAGTACTCCTTGTTCATAAGCAACTACAGGTCCTAGAAAACTAGAACCTGGCATGGCTACATAAGGGCATTTCCACTATTCATTTGATGGAAATAATCTTAAGCAAATGTTGAACTATTGGTCATTTCCACTGTTCATATGATGCGAAAATTTTTACAGCCAGTGGATGCTTGAGTCAAGGCAAGAAATTTAGTTAACTTAAGGCAAGAAATTCAGTTAACTTAATCTGAATAATTCAGAGATATGTTCATTCAGAGAATTGTTTAGATATGTTCATTCAGAGAATTTGTTGGTACTCTTTGCTTGTGTTGAATAACAAGAAGATTTTTCCCTATTGGATGATCTACACACTGAATGCATCAATTTAGAGTAAGATGAACCTGACATTAACATTTGGTGTTTATTTTGAACCTGACAATGAACCTGACATTAACTAAACAACAATAATTCAGTAGTTTTCTCAAATTTGGTGGAGTACTGCTCACTGAAAACAGTGGAGTATTCACTCAAATTTAGCATCTCCTATTCACTGCAAACTGATCTACTCCAGTACTCCATCTTGACAAATTACAGTGCTGATTTT